AAATGTTAGAAAGCAAAACACCTTCACAAGTATCGCATTCCGAACTAAGAGATGCGTACAGAGTTTAGCAAATCGAGCACACTCGTGTTATGTACACAGTTTTTGTAAACAGGGCTCGAGTTCTGTTATTGTTTATATTTAGAATTCACCGGGTGCGTTCAATCGTGACAGTCTGCTTACCACAACTGCACGGACTGACAATATACGATATTCGTATTGTGTGTTTGTTTTGCTTTCGAACGTGTCTACTCTGAATTTTCTGGATTATAGTATTAATATTTTTCATTTATACAAAACGAGATTGTCACTTTTCCTAGGGATAAAGAATAAAATTAAATTTTTGAGAGTGCAAGGATATGTCAATCAAACCCGCCGAAAATTTTGAAATTTCAATATCTTTTAAACAAAATATGATTTTTGATTAATTTTTGTGTGAAATGCTATTAAAATATATAAGTCGTAATATTATAAAGAAAATAATAACTTTAAATCTGTGTCCAAGTACCTTTAATAAACAAACCGAATACATCGTTATGTTGAATAAGGCTGCATCTTCCAAAATTGTGAATTTCATGGCCCATGGTCAGGGGTTCTTAGGTGCTAGGGCGTTGCTATATATATTATATAGTGAAAGTGCATTATTTCTTTGAAAATCTTCTTCTTTACTCCTGGGTATTTGATAAACAAACCGGATACATAAATATGTTGAATAAAGCTGCCTCTTCCATAATTCTGAATTTCATGGCCCTAGGGTCAGGGGTTCTGGTGTTAGGCGGGGCTCTATTAATGATATTGTGAAAATCTTCTCTTCTCCTGGATATTAAACAAACTAACAAAGTATATAGTTATGATGAGCAAGTCCATCTCTACCAAAATTGTGAATTTCACAGCCCCTGGGTTGGGGGTTCTGGTGTTAGGGTGGGGCTCTATTGATCATGTAGTGAAATACATCAATTCTTTAAACATCTTCTTCTTTGCTCCTGAGTATTAAATAAAGTAAACAAGTACATTTAGTAATGTTGAATATGAACTAGTGCCTCTTCCAAAATTGTGAATTTTACTGCCTCTGGTCAGGGGCTCTGGTGTTAGGGTGGGGCTCTACTAATCATATGGTAAAAATACATTTAAAATTCTATCAAAATTTTCTTCTCAGATCCTGAGTATAAACCTATGCACAAAGTTATGAGGAGGAAGGATGCTTCTTCTAAATTCATGAATTTCAGAGCCCCAGGGTCAGGTGTTTTGGTGTAAGGGCAGGGTTCTAATGATTATATAGTGGAAAGAACTATGAACTCTAACTCGTGATTCCCGCCTACATTTTGCACCCATTAAATTCAATATTAATGGCAATTAGGCCATTAAATCTTTGTTTAATACAAAGAACTGTTCTATGGTAATTGATTAATCAATTTAATTCCAGCGCTAGATAGTAAATTATCATTAATTCCAGCTTTTGAAAAAAGGGGGGTAGACGATATTTTCTGGTGAAATCGAACTTTCAAGAATCACCATATTTTGAAATAGTCTACTATTTTATTAAATTATATATGTTTTGTTTATTTGCGTAAAACATAAGAAAAGATATGAGATACAATTACAAAGTAAATGCATTTTCTCTTTGTTACTCTTATTTATCTCTGGGTATTAAGTTACCAAAGTAAGCAAGCTTAATGTATAGTTATGATAAGCAATGATACTCAGGTGACCTATAAGACCAATGGGCCTCTTGTTAAAAGAGATATCTCTCTTATTTTAAGAGATGTCGCTTTCTCGTAGAGATATCTCTTAAAAACGAGAGAGATGTCTTTAAATTTGGATATATCTCTTTTTAAAGAGATATCTCTCTAAATTGAGAGATACATGTATCTCTGTTATTTTACGAAAAAAATTATTTTCAAAATAAAAACCAAAAGGGCTTGTCATAAGAATGGCCAATTATGGAGAAAATCTTTGAGAATCTCGAGAACAGCAAAGCCATTATTAGTGATAAAATACAAAAACAAATCCTCAGTTTCATTTTTAGTGTGGATTCAAGAGTATTCAAATCCGGATCCGTGGGGTAGGGTTAGGCCACAATAGACGACCACAGTTATATGATATTTTTTTCTAATCTTAAGAACAGCAAAGCCATGGTGTGACATGTTTATAGAAAATATCCACAGTTATTTTTTTAAGTTTGTAAACATCATCAGCCCCTGGGGCAGGCTGGTGCATCATCAGGGGATCAAAGTTATACATGGGAAAATATAATAGATAAATATAATATATATATTTATTATTTTTCTGTATTGTTCCAACTATCTGATTGACTCAAACTGGATCACATGATCAAGTATAAAAAGTGTTACAAACTCGATGTTTCTATTCTAAAAATTTATAAACCTGATGTTTTTAAATTTGGAAACGTTCTTCTGTGAAGCAACAATAGAGCTGACGTCACAATAGTCTTTATAGACTGGATGTTTCTAAAAACAGATACTGCAGCTGGTTTTCATTACTGTGACGTCATAATGCAATGACATAACAATGCCTTGTATAAGAAGGTACTGAGTATTAAAAAGAAGGATTTTAAGACATTTCTTTTTAACTGATAAAAAATAATAAAACAATTGTAGCCTTTTGATTCGGTACAATCCCTCTATATATAGACCTTAGAGAAAGCATATCGACCTCGCACTTCGTGCTCGGTCGATATGCTTTCTCTAAGGTCTATATATCGAGGGATTGACCTCATCAAAAGGCTTTAATTGTATAATATATATATTTATCATTTTTCTATATTGTTCCAACTATCTGATTGGCTCAAACTAGATCACATGATCAAGTATAAAAGTGGTATGGACTGGATGTTTCTATTTTTAAAATTTATAAACCTGCTGTTTCTAAAATTGGAAACGTTCTTCTATGAAGCAACAATAGTGCTGACGTCACAATAGTCTTTATAGACTTGGTATTTCTAAAAACAGATACTGCGGCTGGTTTTCATTACTGTGACATCATAATGCAATGTCATAACAATGCCTTGTATGAGAAGGTATAAAGAAGGATTTAAAGACATTTCTTATTAACTGATAATAAATAATAAAACAATTGTAGCCTTTTGATTCGGTACAATCCCTCGATATATAGACCTAAGAGAAAGCATATCGACCTCGCACTTCGTGCTCGGGTTGATATGCTTTCTCTAAGGTCTATATATCGAGGGATTGACCTCATCAAAAGGCTATAATTGTATATTATATATATAGAGAGAGAGAGAGAGAGAGAGAGAGAGAGAGAGAGAGAGAGAGAGAGAGAGAGAGAGAGAGCACTACAAAAACCAACAACAAGTATATCCTAAATGTCGGATCTACCCAGTAGATACAAGGTCACGGATGGAAATTTATATAAAGCACTAAAAATGACCAACGATACGAACAATAAAAATTGTCAAATTTTCGGGACGCCCTGTCCCTTCCTCATGACAAAGAAAAAAGTTAAAAAGTCATAAGAACAAAGGAAAAAGAGAAACAAAAACAACTAGCACTAATACTAAACTACTAAACACTTTATATTTACATACTTGGTTACATGTTGCATTGGAAATTTTTAAGAACACTATTAAAGAAAGTAATCCGGACCGCTATGGAATACGTCCGGTCTATCGGGTATTCTTGGGTGAAGTGCTATTTACATAATTGAATGAATTAATTATGCTAATTAATTACAACAATCAGTAAATCCTACATTGTCGCATATCTGCGGTGATTTTCTTTGATCTTTCTGTGGTGATATATCCCATATCACATATGCAATAATACTTTCCACGCCCCTTTATATATCACTGCAGGTGGCAGAAATCGGGTCATGAGAATAAAAACTGATTTTATTTTACAAGTTCATAACTACAGAAAAATGAACATATTTAGCTATTTCTTTGCCTTTAACTAAATTAAAATACACGCATTTAATTCAGTTGAAAGTTCCCAATCGTTCAAAATATTAATCCATTTTGAAAGTTACGGTAAAATCTCCAAACTTTATATCGTTAAACTCCTTGATATTTGTTTCTGTGATTTCATATTTGTCGAGTGCCTGGCTCAAAGATAAATCGTCAAAATCTTCAAACTCAGTTAAAAATAAAAGTCAAATTCACTAAGAACGTCCGACATGTTGGAGAGCTAGCTTGAAATGTATATTACTAGTTCATAACACGCTGAATATTTTTTTTTTTTGAATTTTGACACTCTCAATGAAATTTACGTCATCAGACATGCGACAAGTTGCTTACATCATAGATGCCTCGTACTATTGGTTATATCGTTTTCATGGGGCGTGGAAATCTCGGGCGCTCCGCAACCTCGATTTCCACGCCCCATGAAAACGATATAATCAATACTACTCGGCTTCTATGATGTAACCTATACTTGTTTCATTCTCTCAAAATGCCGTAACTATACTTGATAAAGAATAATCAACATAGATAATTTTGCCAATTCTGATCATTATGATGACTTTGTTTGTAAATCAAACTTATCGTTCGATCTTATTTTAACTGACATGTTAAGTAACATTAGTTAGGTCATTTGTTTTTTCCTGGATTTTACTGCAGTGTACAGGGATGCTTAATCCTCCTACGCACCTCATTCCACCTTAAGTGTGTCCATGGATTCGCTATTTTCCCTGATCTGAATTTATGAGATTTACGAGTTTGATTAGTTTTTGTTATTTTCATATTTTCGTTGGCTTCGTATGACAGATTAATTAAAGAAGAATTTGAAAGATGTTAAGAAATACACACGCTACTTTTAGCAAAATTTTTAAGTTATCTCTCTTTTGTTTTCCCAAATAAGTAATGTTTTATGAAAATCCATATAATTATCTATAAAAATTATGAAAAATTTCTCCAATATGTTAACTTTGGAAAATTGACCTGGAGGTAGGCAGGAGAACAATAATATCAATCGCAGCTCTTCGGTATGTAATTTAAAAAGCTCATAAGTACTTTATTTTATGTCTAGATCAAGAAGCAGTAACTGAAGGTGCTGTATCTACATGTAATACCTTAAGAAAAGTCTTAGAAATTCTGAAACGGGAAGGACTGTTCAGTAACTGCGATGTAATTTTGGTACAATACGTATTACGAAGGATCGGATGCCTTGATCTCTATGAAAGATGTTACAAATATGCTCAAGCTTGCGAGGCGCTGTGTTTCTTTGAAAGGCAGCCAGGTATTATTTCTGTATTTTTTTTCTTTTAAATACTGTTAATCACTCTTTTTAGCGAGAACTTTTTTTACATTTATTTATGCAAGACTGTGTGTTGAGGAAAATTTTATTCACGCGTACGTTATTATTATTCCTAAAGATTATACACAGCAATAACCACAATTTGTGAAATAAACTCATTTATTAAAAGTGATGACTTTTCCTTGAAAATAATGTTTCGTGAAAATTAAGTTGTTTACATCATTTGATAAACAGTTTTGTCATTCATATTTTTTTATATCTGTAATAGCATGCATTATTATACAGTCATTACAAATTATAATATTATGGAATGAAAATACACATATTTATACATAATGGACAAAAAAGATCCATTCGAACTGTTTTGAAAGAAATAGACATAATAGTTCTTATATATCTAATTACATCCAAGTCAGTATAAAAGACAGTTTCCTATTTCTTCCATTTACAATTCATTATACATTGCTTTGCAACAAGAATAATTATGTTCAATGTTCTGAAAGTAGTTTCACTAGAACTTTTATATCTGAATATGATTTCTTCGGGGGTAAATTTAATTATTAAATCACCACCGTGTCGAAGTTTGTTACTTAAATTGAACCACAAAGTAACGAGGAAAAGGGACACATGCACAATGAATGAATGCTTGTTGTTTTTTTTTTATATCATAGCAAAAAGAACAAAGTTCTGTTTCGGTTTATTTCATTTCATAAGTTTTCGTAAAAAATATTTGATGTAAGAGCTTAAACTGAAAGCATCGAAGCTCCTTTCCCACTGTTATTACGTAGAATAAAGAGAAAGATTCTTTCCGGATATGTATGTTTATGAAAATGTATTGAAAGGTTTTCCTCCCATTTTCTTAAAACCATGAAAGGGGACTCGGCAATCTATATAAGTATTTGATAAACTAATTCTATGAATATGAGAAGATGTTGCATAATTGTCTTTACAGAAAACGGGTATACAACTGTCGGGTTTCACATAGATGGCAATATCAAAGAATACTCCAAGGAGGATATCTACTCTATACGAGACACAGTGGCCAATATGCTGGAATGTTCGGAAGAGTATGTTGTTATTAGTGGAATAGAACTTGTTAAAAGCTTTTTGGTCGTGTTGTCAATAAAAGAAGAGTATATCTTTGCGGTACTGTCAAATGCTCAAGATATTTTTGAACGTCTTCGTTCTTTGAATGTGGATTATCTTGCCTGGGGTGATACTGTTATTCGAAAAGGACACACCAGCAAAGGTAACGGGTTTAACATAATTGTTAAATATATTTATTCAAGTATCCCTGTACTGACAGGTATCAGTAAATTCCGAACAAAAAATATTTCAAAGAGTTCAAAAAGATTTTAATATTAAACATTAAAATTCTACCTTAATAACGTCATTTACTTTCATAACATTATGACTTACGTAATGATAAAGAAAAGATAACTGACAATTATCAATCTTAAAAATTCAAACAGTACAAATCTGTAAGCAAACCATAAGACAAGGATCCCCGTATTTTCTAGGGGTGGGACTGAAGCTATTTATTGATAATGTAGAAGTGAAAATTCCGTACTCAAATATATGTATACATATGAAGCAGAATTTGTGCAAAATCTTATGCATGAACAGAAGGAAACACTCTTTGTGACCTTCAACTCGACATTTAGATATATCGACAGAGTATTGTAAATTAACAATGGTAATTTCCATTCCTATGTCAATACGGTATATCCTGGTGAGCTAAATAAAAGATAAGCAGATCGGCTTGGGACGTTGGCACCTGATTCCACCTCTGATGTTTTTGGAGGTCCGAGTTTGCTCTGCTCCTATTTTGTATTGTTTTATGGATTTTTTTATTGTGATACTGTTCGTTATCGCCATATCTTTCTCCATATGTTTCATTTTTTAAAAAACAAGAAAACATTTCAAAAGCACTTAACAATTTTCAAGTTTTGTTTATACAACAGTATCATAAGAAAATTCAAGTTTGGCCTTAGAATTATTTTAGCCTTTCTTAGCTGCAGATATGTAGCTCTCTAGTCGGAAAAAAATTGGCATGGAAAGCGGAAAGTACAGTGCCACCCATAACAAATACTGTATATTGCGCTCGGTTCTGGGTTAATATCTCCAAGTTCTAACCACAATTGCAAAAAAGTAAATAAATAAATTCCTTACACCTCTGTGTAATTAATAATATTTAATGATACAAAATTATCAATAGTTTTAATCTACTTTGATGATACTTTCAGAACAAGATGTGGAGTTAGCTAAATGGATAACTGAGGACAAACTTTATCAGGAAACTCATTGCTTTCACGAAATGATGGAGAGAGTGAGAAGTCAAAAATTTGTAACATTTGTGGGTGGCCCTGGATCAGGGAAATCTGCCACCGCTCATCACATTGCTTTAATGCTCCAAAGTGAGAAATATGCGGTAAAACCAGTTAAAGACCTCAGGGGAATTATACAGATGGAAGAATTTAACTACTCATATAAACAGGTTTTTGTCATTGATGACGTGATAGGTGTATTTGGCCTTCAGAGAACAAAATTAGTTTTTTTCGATGATGTTTTTTCACGACTTTTTAAGTATGAAAAATGTAAAATTCTCTTTACATGTAGAGAGACTGTGTACAGAGAATCCTTATCTTACGACCCGTCATTTGAGTGGTATGAAAATATTATTAATTTGCACAGTTCTGAATATGCATTAGATGACAATGATAAGAAACTTATGATGGAGAATTATGGCTTACGTTGTGAATTACTGTCGCCATCTTTGCTGACATCGGCTTCTCATATGTTTCCCTTTCTCTGCAAACTGTTCTCAAAGGAAGAAAAATTCAGAAATTTTGGTTCAAAGTTTTTCACAAATCCAAATGAATGCATTATCACTGAACTTGATGAGATGCAAGCAAAAAACAAATTCTTTTACGCTACGTTAGTTTTGTGCATAATGAATGAAAAACTCTCTGAAAATATTCTAGAAGATTTGGAAAATGCCGTTTTCCTTGAAATGAAAAACAGTGTGTTAGCAAATCTTGACGTGCAGCCTTCCACTGATACATTCAAATTTTTAGAGGCATTGTCAAATATGGAGGGGACATACACAAAAAAGAGTGGCACAGAGTACACAATTATGCATGACTATTTGTACGAAATTTGTGCATACCATTATGGTCAAAAATTTCCAGGCCAAATGCTGCAGTACATGAGCAGTAGTTATATTGCTAACAAGGTAAAATTACAAAAAAATGAAGCAAGCAAAGTGTACAAGAGCGAAGAAAAAGAGGTTTTTGATTCAGATAATGGTGATGACAGAAACAATAAGAATGGTGACAAAGGTACTGGAAGTGAAGAATGTTTTGATCTGTGTATATGGTTAAGTGAGGATCTGTATCCAATGTTAGCAAAAAGGTTGTACAGAGACATACAGGAAATGGAGCTGGATAATCTCTTTACAAATGATGTTTTAAAGCATCCAAAAGTGTGTCAGACTTTTATTGATGTGTTAAAAGAAAAGTCGTACAATGAAATAAAATCTTTATTCCTGTATGAACGGTTATTCTCAAGGATCTCGGAAGTTAAGGTGAGAGTGCTCACATGGGTGATCCTCTATGGACATTATGATATTCTGCAATACATTGTTGGTGAAATTGAAAAATATGGTAAGAACAAATCTGATCTATTCTACAGAGATGTCGAGCACCAACACTGGAACACACTGAAAAAGACTCTTAATAAAGACATTCTCTCAGATGAAGAAAGATATATGCTACTGCTAAGTTCCTACAGTGGTAATCTTGAAACTGTAAAAATTGTTCTGAAGTTTGTGAATAAAGATTCCATCAAAAAGCCGATTAAACGCAAATATCTTGAAACAAGGTTGCTGAATTCAAAAGTCGAAAACGAGTACAGATGGAAATGTGTGCCACTTGTAGTTGCATTTGAGGGAGGGCATTTAAATATTGTTCATGAACTAATTAAAGCGGAGGCTGGTATAAATCTAACAGATAAAGAGGGGCGTACACCACTGATAATTGCATGTGATGGAGGACATCTGAGCATTGCACAGGAACTAATAAAGTTTGGAGCTGACCTCAATGTTCGGGATATTCAAGGGAATACAGCAATGATAACTGCATTTAAGAGAGGACATTTTGACCTTATGCAAGAATTAATTGAAGCAGGAGCAGATGTCAATCTACCGAGTGAAGACGGGCACATTATTCTGATAGACGCATGTGAGGGTGGCCATTTGAATATTGTTCAAAACCTTATAAAGGCAGGGGCTGACATCAATATACGTGATAAAGAAGGGAAAATAGCAGTGGTAACTGCATCAATGAAAGGAAATCTGAGCATTGTGCAAGACCTAGTAAAGGCCGGGGCTGATATAAATCTAAAGAATAAAGAAGGGAATACACCATTGATAACTGCTTGTGAGGGCGGATATTTGAACATGGTACAAGAACTAATAAAAATGGGTGCTGTGGTTAATGTACAAAATATAATGGGGAAATCACCACTTATAGCAGCTTGTATTGGTGGGTATATGTGTATTGTTCAAGAACTTTTCAAGGTCAGGGCTGACGTCAATCATATAGGTATGGTGAAAAATACGCCATTAGTAGCCGCATGTAAGTATGGACATTTGAACATTGTCCAAGAACTAATTAAAATGGGGGCTGATGTGAATCTACAGGATAATGAGGAGTGTACACCAATCAAAGCTGCACGTGAGGGTGAACATTTGAACATTGTTAAAGAACTAGTTAAAATGGGGGTTGATGACAGTTAAAAAAATAATAATGGACAAAAAAACTGCTTTAATGAACAGACGCTTTACTTTGACGAATTGCCTGGTGGAACCAGGCCACAAATATCATTCTTTCGGATTATCATGGAATTAAGAACTCTACGAAATGTAGTTATATCGAAATTCAATGATATTTTACCGTCTGGTATTCTCAATCTAGTTGAAAATGGAGCTGACTGAACCGTTTGTGATGCTGCCACCATTAACTGTGTGTTTGCTGTGTGTGGGTCTGTGTGTTGTTTGAAACCGAGCTGGAGTTATTAACACTCTTTATTACACACTTACACAGCTAATTGTGCCACGTACGTTTCACGTATGTTAAACGTATGTGACACATACGTGACTTCACGTACGTTTTCCATGAAAAAAATACCACGTACGTTATACGTATGTTTTCACACGTGTGAATATCATGCGTGTCACGCATGTTAAACGTACGTATTGCCCACCATACGTTACATGTATACTGCACACGTACGTTACTCATACGTTTCACATATGAATAATGTACGTGCAACGTGTGTGTAACATATGTTTCTCATAACATGTTTAATGGGTTTATTATTTGCACTGCTCATATTGTAAATGTATAAATACCATACAAAAATGTGTCAAACCATGGTTAAACACACGTTTTGAACATTTTTTCACATATTGTAAACGTTGGTGAAACAAAAATTACGTGCAATTTAAATATTCATTTCATGCATAATTTCTCTCAAAGGCTTATTTTCTTTTCATCTGTTGAATGATCCACTTTCTGGTTATCCTTCACTTTAAATTTCCTGATCCTATTTGCTCTTGAAGCAATTACAACAAAAGACATATTTAGATTTAAGCCAAATTTAATGTTGAGTATGTTAACACCAATTCATTCTTCTCCAGTTCTCTTTTATCTGTAAAGAAAAAGAAAATATTAAATGCATCGAATAAGGGAAAAACCCATTTTTTCCCCTGAACATTATTATTATCCACATATTAATCTTGGTTGATTCTCTGTAGAACTTAAATATAAATACTAAATAATTAATTTTTTAGTATTCATAACAATGATCTTTTAAACTATTTTTTTCACTATATCCTCAAATATCTACCTTGTAATTTTCTTATCTAAAATTCATTACATAGCATTGATTTGTGGGTGAACTCGGAAAAAACTGTACATACTGATACCCCATATGCCAGCTTATGGTTCAAGTTTCCCAAGTGCAAGTCAAACTCCAAAGTCAAGGTCAAAGGTCAAAATTGTTGACATCCAAGGACGGACTTGTCACAAAGAGTAAATATGTGAAATATGAAAGCCCTACTACTATCAGCTCAAAAGTTATGATCAAAGTTAGTTTTTTAACAGTGGGTTAAACTAGAAGTACAAGGTCAAATATTTTAATTTATACCCATTGAAAGGTTTTGTCACAATAAATATACAAGTGAAGTATGAAAGCCCTTGCACCAACTGTTCAAAAGTTAAGGCCAAGATTCAAGTTATGAAACTTTCTTAAAAGTGAATCATACTCCAAGTTCAATTCAAAAGGTTAATTTGGTGTACCAATACAAAAGTATTGTCACTATGAATACCCAGGTCTATGAAATATGAAAGCCATACTTTCACCCACTAAAATAATATGGCAAATGTGAAAAGATTTTGCAGACAGACAGACAGGGGAAAAGCTACATAGATGTACCCCAGAATCTTTGATTACAGGGGTACAAAACTTATTCCTCATTGTCATGAACATAGTCTTTTTGCTTTCAACTTAGGAGCATTATATAGATTTTCAATGAATCAATGCATTTTCAGTTTATGATTAATTAATAAAGCTGTGCCTTTACATCTGATCCACCTACCCTGGGGCTATATGAATTTCATAATTTCATTAGGACTCTATGCTGATTAAAATCTTGCTATTAGTTTGCTTGATGTCCAATTAAAAAAATACAATTTTGAATAATTTTGATGGGTTACCCCCCCCCCCTTTAGTTTGGGTGGTGGTGGAGGGAGGAGGCAGTAAATGCTAAAATTTTACCAGACAGAGCACAGTGTATGACGATGGACAACAAGAAACCCAAGGGCCTTGAATCGCTCTTGTAATAAATTGTACAATCTATCACTAGTATTTGAAGCCTCTATGTTTATAAGACCCAAAATACATCAATTAAGAAAGTTCAATGATTCTTAGCCAGTTAGGACTGAAGATATTTCAATAGAGCTATAAAATACCATAAGTAGATCATGGTGACCTACTTTTTGGTCGACATTCTCCAAAGATGCCTCAACTGACAAAGTTTAACAATTCTAGGCCAATATAGACTTCTTTTGGTTTTATCTTCCTGATTATCTCCCCTTGTATAAGGTCCAAACCCTAATTTTAGTATAAATTGTAGCCCTTGGGCCAAGGATGCCCTGTGAAAATTTGACAATGATTGTCCAAGGGGATCTTGAGTTATGACCCACATTCTAACAAGAGGCCCAGGGGCCACATCGATCACCTGAGCAATTTGCTAGGAAAAATCACACATCAGATCAGAACTGAAAGTTTTCTGGGGGGGGGGGGGGGGGGCTTTGAATTTTAACCCCCCCAGGGGGTCATGATTTGAACAAACTTGAATCTACACTACCTGAGGATGATTCCCTATAAATATCACTAAGCAGTACTTGAAAACAAGATTTTAAAAGGTTTCCCTAGATATTCCTATGTAAAACTTTTATTGGCCATTTTGGCCCCACCCTACCCCTGGGGGGTCATGATTTGAACAAATTTGAATCTACACTATCTGAGGATGATTCCACATGAGTTTCATCTTTCCTGGCCTAGTGGTTCTTGAGAAGAAGATTTTTTAAAAATGCCATTAATTTTTTTTCTAATTCATAATTATCTCCCCTTGGAAAAGGGCGCAGCCCTTCATTTGAACAAACTTGAATCCCCTTTACCCAAGGATACTTTGTAGCAAGTTTGGTTGAAATTGGCCCAGTGGTTCTTGAGAAGAAGATGAAAATGTGAAAAGTTTACAACGCCAACAACAACAACGACGCCAAGGACAACAACTGACAAATTTTGATCAGAAAAGCTCACATGAGCCTTTGGCTTAGGTGATCTAAAAAGTTTATGCACACCGCACAAATGGTCGTAGCATTAGCTCTTTGAGCCTTTGGCACAGAAGAGCTAAAAACAGTATACATGTACACCAGTATATACTGGCTACGAGGACAATAGCTAGTTTATCATCCCCCAAGACAACAACTATTCCCCAAGATGCAGACGAGGGAAATAGTTTGCTGTTGAGGGAGATGATAAACAAGCTATTTTCCGAATAGTAACTTAAGTAAATAGGTGTTTTATTATGGCACCTGATCCCACCTCTGATGTTTCGGGGGTCCGTGTTTGCTCTGCTCTTATTTTGTATAGTTTTATGGACTTTGAGATTGAATACTGTTCGTTATCTCCATATCCTTCTATTATATACTGAAGCTGACTTAATTATATGTAAGGTCCAATCTGGATAAAACCAGAAGAGTTACGAAATGAAAAATTGAACTTACCTTCTGCATTAATCTTTAGCTTGGCATGGACTCATCTGTTTTTGTTTGTGTTCCAAGTGTATACTTTTTGTCCTTGAGGTTAAAAAAAAAAAAATATGTAAAAAAAAAAATAGACGACTTTCACATTAAATTTTTCAAAAGTTATTCCCCTTTGCAGGGTCAATCCAGCGTAAGGCCCTGTTTTCCCTCTGTAACCTTACCAAATTTATTGGTCAGTATCTTAAAAATAAAATCTGTAATGAATATCATTCATTAAGATTTTCATATTGCCCCAAACTTCAGCAATACAGGTACAGATCTAAATTGTCCAATAACGTTTGAAGATTGAAAATAATATCAGGTAACTTACAAAGGACAAAGTGGGAAAAATGAGAGTTATGCCGACAAGGGAGATAACTCTTATTAGTGTGAAATTCGTCAAACTCGATTGCATTTCAAATTTTACATGAAAAGCTTCAAGTTACATGTAGTATTTGCAAGTCTAAAAGCAATATGATAAGAAAATCTTATTCCTTTTTAAAAGTATTACCATATTCAAGATTATACTGGTTAAACTTTAATAATCTGTTTTGGAGTCCATTCTAGGCATATAGGTGTTTACAAAGATGAGCTTCAGTCACCATCCTGGAATCCATATATCTAAAATCACATAAAAATTCTCAATCTCAAACACATGTCAATTTATATTCATAAGGATTAAAAGGGCAGATATGTAAAAACAAAACTGTTACACCATTATTGCATTCAAAGATAATAATTTCCTTTACCATCTAATGTGATGTTTTAAATACTGTACTGTAAAAAGAAATAAATTCAGTGAGTGGAACTTTACATCAAATTGTTGTAGTTTTTTTTTTTTTTTTGCATCTTATTTGTTAGGTTAAAAACATTTTAAATAAATACTTAATTGTTATAACAGTATTTTTAAACTTCACCTGCATTTTGATATAACGTGCCCGTGTTGATGGATACACCTGGGTGCTGACCAAGACAGCTCACTGGCTGCTCAACATGGTCAATATTTCCTGTTTTTGGTAACCCACGTCTCCATTATGTAATACACTGAAGAAAAAAAACACCCTCTTAGTTTACATGCAACACACAGTCATAAAGTAATTAAATAATTGTTGATTTTATGCATTCCTCACCTTTAGCTAGGCCCTAGTACTTGCAGACGTCAGACTTCTCTTTCCAGTGACGTCACTGGTAACGTACATGTAATACATAAATGGAGGCTGGAAAATTCCGGAAGGTATATTTTATAAGTTTTATACGGACGGTACCCACTGTATATTTGATAATTATCTAGATGAATCATTTACTCCCTTTTGAGATTTGTTGTGAAATTATCGTGAATTTCTTTCTTTTTTTAAAATATATTTTTGCTCTTGAATTCGGATTGATTATATCTACCGATGACCGAGTTCAATTTTATGTGCCTCTACCGATATCCGATACATATGACGAGATTGGAGAACTTTTTATGTAAACTTTGTTAACTGTTTTTAGAGTAAATTTTAAACCAATGCGAACTTATAACATTATGCCAGACATGAAAGTGGACGTAAGGTAAACAATGTGAAATAAATTGAAACATTAAATACGCACACGACAAGTCAACAACGCACACACATGTATGCTTCAGTTGCGATTGGGTTTAACCAAATATCATAATAATGTTTATGTCAAAAAAAGATATTTTAGATTTTAAAATATTATAATTATTAAAATACATGCAACTTCTGATATAAGGACCCGTTATACATGTTATAAGAAGGATTTTATAGATGGTCATATCACTATGATTGCTCTTCTTCCTGAATAACAGGTTAAGCCCTAAGTGCCTATTGATTGTTATGTTAAATAATATCTTGATTAGTTCTCCAAAACTTAAACTATTAAGGAAAAATAGATAGTTGTGGAAGTCAGCCATACTTTTATACAAAAAGTTCCTGTATTTTAAGTGAAATTATGTAGTCCCTAGCAACAATAAATGTTTAATGCATTGGATTTTTTTCTCTTTATAGCAAAAACTAAATGATAATTTGATTAAAAAATTAAATTTGAAATAAAATAAAAAGGATTAGATTTATAGTCAACCTACATTTAACATACATGTATGTAATAATATGAATTTACAAAATATACAGCCTTCTCATTCTCAAACATAGGTTTTCACACACATGTAAAACACCTTTTTAAATGTATATGTAACATGTGCCTGATAATACACATACTATATTCATCAACATATGTAATGAGAGCTTTAGAATACCATAATAAACCATAATTTATCTATGTACATTAGTATATTTAATGTGTGGTTTATAATGCACATAAACTATATATATACATGACATTTGTGCTTTATAAAACACATGTAATCCATGAGTTCATTAACTTACGTGTAACATGTGGTTGACTATACACATGTAAACCATGTGTTCATTAACGTAGGTGTAACATGTGGTTGACTATACACATGTAAACCATATGTTAATTAACGTACATGTAACATGTGGTTGACAATATACATGTAAACCGTACGTTTATTAACGTACGTTAAATGTATGGTTGCACATAACATATGTTACACGTACGTTTCACGTACGTAACACATACGTGTATTCCAAACATACGTTTAACGTACGTTATGTGAAACGTATGTAGTCACACATATGTTATACGTACGTTGTACCACATACGTGAAACGTATGTTTGTAATACACGTATGTGATACGTACATTTCACATACGTGATACATGTGTTATGTGCAACCATATGTAACACGTACGTGGCACAATTAGCTGTGTAGTAATAAATACAGGTTTTTTGCATATGCGATATGGCTGACGTAACGATAGCCGTATCAGCCCTGCAGGGCTGATATGGATTTGAAGGGCTGATAATCTATATCAGCCCCGCAAATCTATATCAGCCCTGCAGGGCTGATACGGCTATTGTGACGTCAATATCACATCCTTAGTAAATTAAACCACAGAAACAGTACTTGTGATCATACACAATTTTTGGTGGGTTCATATTCTCTTAATTTTAACTTTTTGAAAATAAGGTTAATCTAAATTTACAAATACATGTACTAGATTATTTTCAAATTACGGATCGAGTGCATTGAAATAGAAGCAGAAACAAACCCAAACCGTATGAGACAATAGACCATGTACATGTATGTAAGAAGTCCTTGCATGGTTATTTACTTATTTTCTTCTCAACGTAATGCATTCTGTATTTTATTACTAAGTATGTAATAAATATAATAAAACATACCCTTTTCCACATCACATCCTGTATCAGCCCTCGACCAATATTGGTGTCTCGGGCTGATACAGGATGTGATATGAAAAAGGATGTGTATTATTCTCTATGTATAGAGTTCAACTCCCTACAGGAAGAAGAAAAAAAAGTGCATTACTAGTATTTAAACTACCATGAAATGCTATGAAAGAAATATTAAATGCCAAAAAAATACAACAGTGTAAACAAACAATTATTTCTTTTTAATTCTGTTAGACATAAAGCATGTCGATGTGAAACAGTAAGGACAATGTGGTGGGGTTACAGAGACGAGTGTGGCGTGTAAGAATGCATGTTTTTGTAGTAAACAATCGGACAAGGAGACTGCGACAAACTGAATCGATTGCTGTGTGTTGGTCTGTGTGTTAATCAGTAGAGAGTAAGAGTATGAACTTAAAAATTTTCTGCATAGTCTGATTAATGTAATAGAGCATATGTGTTAGAAAGTGAAGGTAGGGATCCTCCTGGAGTCGGGGGCGTCAGAGTGAGGTACAGAGTACACGTGTATCAGTCTCTTTTAGACAGAGTGGGTGTGTCTCTTCTAGAGAGAACAAAGTGATTGGTCTGTGAGTATAGTAAGAAGAGAGACTAATATTAAAAAGCAACAGTCACAAGAGTGTGAGAGAGTGGTGTTTACCATTACCAGACATGTCAGAAGATACTCTGTGTAAAATGGCTCTAAATCTGAGGAAATACTCCACTTGTGTTAAACATGACAAAACTGCAGTGAGTATTAATTGGCAAAATTGAATTCTCTGCTATTTTGTCCTATGAGGAATGTACCATTTATTAGTTTCAATGTTGCAGATTATGTCAATTGCAAAGGCTTTTAAAGCTGATAAACTGCAGTTTGATACACTTTCGATAAGTTGTATTAGTATTATGTTTGATTTGACTTGGAATTACATAATAGTTTATATTAAGTTGTTAAAATTTTATCTTAACACCTGACACATTATGTGATTTTATTTGTTGAGCACTATTTAAAATGCAGCTGTTTAAATGTCTGTGTACAAATGATTACCAAGTGAAGAATAATAGGAAAAAATCACCCTTTATGTTTTCATATACATTACTATAATGTACATAATACGAAAAGATGCACATCTTGTTCTTAGATTTATTTCTATTTGTATGTTTAACAAATTTATGTGGCATATTGTCGTGTTGTTTGATATTTATTACGTATTAACATATTGCTTTATATTTTCTGGTGTCATTTTGTCATAGATATTTTGCATGTTTGATTGATTGATTGATTGTATATTGTTTAACGTCCCTCTCGAGAATTTTTCACTCATATGGAGACATCACCGTATGCCGGTGAAGGGCTTCAAATTTTGACCTTTACTCGGCACTCAGGGCCATTGAGCAGTGAGGGATCTTTATCGTGCCAACGCCTGCCGCTGACACCGGGCCTCGTTTTTAAGGTCTCAACCGAAGGACCTACCACTTTCACTTTAAAGTGCCGAGTGCATGGCGAAGGAACAGTTGCTACCCATTTTATCGACAAGGTCAGTCGCGGCCGAGATTCGAACTCACGACCTCCCAATCACGGACCGAGCGCTCTACCGACTGAGCTACCGTGAACAGTTTTGCATGTTTGAAAAATACTATAAATTTACCCTTTAACATGGGAGACCACAAAATTGCTAAATTCCAAGCTAATGTTTGACTACCGATGCCACTTTCACCTCCAAAGACAAGTATTACTTCCAAGTTTTTAAAATGGGCCAAAGTCTAAGTTCAAGATAAAAGAGTATATAAAAGAGGAATATACCTGTGGAATATGAAAGCCATAGCCCCACTGGAAAGTTATAAGCAAGGTTAAAGTTTTTGCAGGCGAACAAACAGACAAACAAGGCAAAAACTAAACACCGCTAAATATTCAATGAGGGGCATGAATTCTATTTTACAAGTGATGACTAATGCAAAATTTTGTAATAATAAATAAATTTTTAAAGCTTTTAAGTTAATGTGAAATACTGTAGAAGCATAAATTTTCGTTGGGACGAAATTTTGTTGATTTTTTATCTAAAAAGTTTCATTGGTTTTTAATTTCGTTGCAATGATGATTGATTGATTGATTGAATATTGTTTAACGCCAAGTCGGAAATCTTTCAGCCATGTTTTAGCGGATTGGCGAAAATAGCTTTCTTCAATCTATAGTAAAGTAATTATTTTGTGCGGGATTTAATTTCGATGATAATTGTTAACATAAAATAAAACACAATTTCATCCCCAACTAATATTTCTGCTTTTACAGAAAACATGAAAAAATAAAGTTTGAGAAAATTGATCACATTTATGAATCACTGTATTTTTGTAAATATTTTAGTTCTATGACAGAAGCTAATGTATTTTCATAATGATATTTTAACAAAGTTGGTGGAGCATATCTAATTGTAATTTTTTCTTAACCATTTCTTAGAGATTTTTATGCATATATCACTTTTATAGAAGACTTGGCACTGCAGTGTCGGAATTCTATATGTTATAAAATATTTATATAACTTAAAATTACATGCACTTTCTAGGCCTTTTCTTTTTTACAAAAATTAAAATAAAAGAGGACTATTACATGTATCAACAATCAATATTGATTTCTAATGTCATACGGTACATGACAAAGACCAGTTGCTTGAAATTTTTTTTTCAAATTATCAGTTTATACAATATTTTATTTATGTATAGTATCAACGTTTAATAAATAATTGTATCGAAAATGTGTGTGTTACTTGAATGAAACATATGGGGATAACGAACAGTATTCAACAGCAAAAACAACACAAAAAGAAGCAGA